CCATTGCCTATTTTCAAAAAAAAAAAAAAAAAAAGTAGTGTGGTTTTATCCAAAAAAAAAAAAAGTACTGTATGAAAGATAGAGGAAGAAACATGTTTTTGTACCTATTTGCTAATGGTTTTTATGCATTTCATCAGTTAGTTAGGACATGTACCTAACCAATTAATTGCAGTATTTGCACGAAAAACTATCTTCTTTCTTCTCTAATATTTTCTCTTTGTCCATTGTCTATTTTGAAAAATAACAATAATTGATACATTTTTTTGATTTAATGCATTATACAACATATTTTGGTTTAACCATTAAGATTTACCTTTAAAAATTTTTCCATCGTGAATTTAAATTTAAAAATAATAATTTTTTTAATGAGTGTATTGTAAAATATGTTGAACAAAAATATATACCAATTATTTTCCTTTTTTTTTTAAAAAAAAAAAGATATTTTCTCTTTGTTTTATCTCCTTTTAATTGACCTACATTTATCCCTAACCTAGATCTCCACCTTTATTTTTTCTCATCTTAAAGTGCAAATAAACACTTTTTGTTTCAGAGAAAACCAGAATGCATAAGCAAAATTGAAGGGAAAATTAGTTTTTTTTTTTTTTTTAATGTGTTTGGTTTGAGAAAAATGAAAGAAAAGGCAAGAAAGATAAAAGAATTCTCTATTTAGTTATAAACAAATTGAAGGAAAGAGGAGGAAAAAATTTTCCTTTCCTTTATATTTTTCTTTTAGTTTACTTACTTATCCAAATGAGAGAAAGAGAGGAGAAGAGACCCCTCTCCTTTCTTCCTCTCCTCTACCCTTCATTCCCTTCAATCTAAACATAGGGTTCAAGATAATGACAAAGCAAATTAAATTTTGAAACAAATGACCTATGGTCTTAAGACCTAGTTATAAAGGTACATGTATGCTCTCCACCCTTAAATGATGAATTAATGTTAGAATTCTAGTTTTTCAAGAGGCAATGGTAAATACGCCCAATGGAGACTTTATCTATACTCACATGTACACACACTACTTAACCATCATTGTTATCAAACATCTCAATTACCTCCTAACTCTTAAGTCAATCCAAAACAAGGTCTTATAAATTTTTCAATTTTCATGGGCAATTTGAAAAACATAGATGATCATCATATACATATTGGACATCCAAATTCCTAATGATGCTAGCATCTATATGCTAGTTAGAATTAGGGAATTAACAGTATATATAACTAACAAAAAAGTGTTGTGTAGTATGAATTGTACAACTTAAATTATTAAATAAAGACAAGTTCTTTGATATTAGGGTTTGTTCCCTACCCAATGGTTCCTATTTTACAATCTAGTAAAGTTAGATTACAAAATATGAATCTCTATAACTAAAATAAAAAAACTTTTATATTTTCATTTGGAGTTAGTATGTTATTAATCTTGGTTGAAACACTGCAATAAATAGGAATATCTTGTGTAAATTAATATAGCTAGTGAAGAGACAAACTTGTAGCTATACAACACAAAATGAGATGAACACTAGGAGGAGAGAAAGATGAAGATGTATATATATGGCAGCCACAAATCAACATTAAGTGATTCAACATCCTCAACTTTATATAAACAAGTTAACCCAAAGAATGAAGGGTGGGATAGTTATGAAACCATATCCAGACCCAACATTAACACAAAAGCAACACTTTAGGCATGAAACTTTCATATAATTATTTTTAATTAAAACATGAAAAATCCCCACAAAGAAATCAATAAAATAGCAGGTCAAAGACAGAATCTAGTCTTGATGAGTGAAGAGCCAATTCTTCCAATTTCTTTTGCAGGGCAGATGGATCAACAACTTTTCCATCACTCACCTAAAATATCAAAAGGCTTAACAATTTGACAAAAATGAAGACCTCACATTTCAAGAAATTGACATGATTTAATTACCTCAGACATAATAGCATGCATCAACCTCTGTTGATAATCTAGGGCCTTGATCGGATGTATTTGTCATGGTTATGCATCACAAAAATAGGAAGATATATTGCTCAAACCAGTGCATGGTAAAAAATAGAGTGGGAGTTAGGGGTCACTTGCAGTCTCATTCTGGTACAAAAGTAGATCTTTCGACTTAATGCATTTTAGAACATTGGGGAACATCTATAGTACTAATAAGATGCAATGAAGAGAGCACTTCCTAATTGACACACGGAAGATATCCTAAAACATTCCTCTAATCCAATGTGATTCAAGATTAGATTATGTTTCAACCATACCACTTCTCCATTGAAGTCATTTGTCATATATAAGCGAAACAAAGGCAGATCCTTCCTCATATATAGTGCGGTATAGAAATATAATTTTGAAAAAAAAAAAATGAAAAGAAGAATCTCATTCAAGAATAACAAATTGATATCATGGTTAAGCTCAAGTCCTAAGGAATACTCATCTTAGACACCTATTTTTAGACGTTAGAAACAGTTAGTAATTATAAATAAAATAGCGCCAAAATCAACAAAGTTCTCTTTTGGTTAAATGCTAAATTTGGTCCCTCAACTTTAGTGAGTTGCACATTTTTGGTCCCTTAACAATTTTTTGCACTTTTTTGATCCCTTAACTATATGAAATGCACTCCGTTAGTCCTTCTGTTAATTTCGATCGTTAACTCGCTCACGTGGCATTTATTATTATTTTTTGATGACGTGGCAAAAACAAATTAAAGACATGTTTACGTGGATTTTTTTTTCAATGCCAACTCATATTATTATTACTATTTATATTTTTAAAAAATAAACTAATATAATCGGTTCATCGGTTCATCTTCTTCCTCTCTCTTTTTCTTTTTTTTTTTTCTTCCTCTTCTTTCTTCCTCGGGTCATTGAACCCTCTGTTGGGTTCGGTGGAACCCAGCCTGGGTTCCACCGAACCCAGCAACT